AGGCCCGTACGCCGACCAGCTTTAGCCGCAGTATACCCGGCGAGCTCAGTGAACTTAACGAGGTTTGAGCAGCGTTTCTTTAAGTCGTCGATGGGTTGTCAGTGAGGCAGTGGTCTGCCGTCACAGCATGCGAACCAAGTGTGATTTCACATCTGTATGTTACCACGTGACATTTATCAACTGTGAGTGACCACCTGAAATTGGAACACCATGAATCAATTGTATGTACGCTGGAATACACTGAGAATATCACCGACACCAGGGGGCTTAAAAGTGTAATTACTAAGTATGCTCTCACAATAGCGGAGGTGTTTTCCCACCTCTAGCTGATGTGTATAATGAATGATAATGATGCTCTCGACGAATCAAAAGCTTTTGCTAGAGCAAAAGATGCCAAAAATGTCCTTCAGATATAGTAGAATAAATGTAGGGCTTCGGACACTGCTTTTATCGCAACTAGTGACTGGCTAAGGCGCGCTTGTTCCATTTTGAACCTAGACAACCTGGGTTGTGTTCGTGAGGTAATTAACGAACCACGAAAGCAGAGGATTGTCTACGCCTTGCGTAGTTAGTAAGGATAAGAAGTAAGCATGTGGAACGCATTCGATTAGGTTTTACATGTCAAGGTAGATGAATATACCTGATGAATCGCAGTCAAGTAAACTAATCTGAAGATTATGCAACTCGATCTGACTTGTGACGTGGCCTCGCAAACTTACAAAGCCTTCTGTGAGGTTTGATAAGATTTCGCAACAAGTTTGAACGTATCTAAGGACCTACCCATTTGTAGTGGATAAACCTATGACTGATTGGACGGTAGTTGCTTGTTTAGTGTACAGAGTGTAGTTTGTAACGTGGGGTAACTATGGTGTTATTCCATCGCGTTGATGCAATACTGGCCAACACAACTAAAAATGGATCAAAAGAAGTATGTGGAGATAAATAAATAAATAAATAAGTTGTATTACAGAGGAGTAGTAGGGGGAGTTGAATGGCATAAGTAGAAATTCGTCACATCTAGACTCACACAGACAGACGTCACACGCCCGGAAAAGCACTGCATGCACATTTCATCCTTTCGGGAATCGTCAGCAGTGCGCATTCCATCGGGCCCTGGTTGCGCTCGAACCCGCAACTCGACTGTTGCCAGTCCGTGGTTGAGACCACTGAGCTACGGGGGACGGCAACGACCATTGTTGCCGACCCCGTAGCTCAGTGGTCTCAACCACGGACTGGCAACAGTCGAGTTGCGGGTTCGAGCGCAACCAGGGCCCGATGGAATGCGCACTGCCGACGATTCCCGAAAGGATGAAATGTGCATGCAGTGCTTTTCCGGGCGTGTGACGTCTGTCTGTGTGAGTCTAGATGTGACGAATTTCTACTTATACCAAATAACTTGTATATTCCTCGGCGATGCGAGGAGCTGTTCCCTAGAAGGAACAGATCAAATATCGATTCCCCTTCTTTTTATCAAGGTTGGTGGTAAGTTATAAGGGATAAGCATACCGAAACAATGATTGGTAGGAATAGGGCGATTACTGTCGCGGTCGAATTCTACTGTGCAGTTTATCATCAGTAAAGAGAAGGACGTTTTGCATAAGGAGCTCAGTTGAGTGTTAGCAAAAGCGGATCCATTAGTTGTTAAAAACTTTACTTGTATGAGTTGGATCACTAGTCATTCGGTTGTTAGCAACCAAATTTGAGGGGGTTTCTCCGTATTTTTTCGCTTTACAGAAGCTTGATAACTGCGCGTTTTGTTATTATGGTCAATCAGCGTGTACCTGAAAACATTCATGCGCCTGTGTTGTCGAAATTGTTTGAGTTCCGCGATTGTCTTTTGTTGCTGCACTACCAGGGAGCAGCTTTTCCTGTCTAACCAGCGTCTGTGCAGCAGCTTGAGTTTATGGGCAAATGTATCTGGGTGGAACATGAGTACATTAAACAGGGAATACGCTGATAACTCGATGGAACGGGATATTTCTATACTCTTCATCAGCAGACACTTATGCGTCATTCGTCAGGAAAAATGTATCCAATGTAAGGATCTCAGGGGAGTATAGTACCATTCCAAGTATAGCTAGTAATATGCTTTATATAAAACTGCACTTTGCGTCCGGGTGGGAGCAGAGTATGGCATTTCGAAGGAGATTGGGACCAGCTAGTGATCATTGCCAGGGAGTTTGTCTAGGATAACAGTAAAATCTTTGGATTAACCTAGTATAAGGAAGAAATCAATTAGAGTACCCTGATGAGAGAATAAACATGTTGTTTCCCACTATAGTATGTACGGAAGAAATTCGGTTCGCATATTTAACTGGTGCGGTGTACGACGACCACTCAGCATCAGACATATTGAAGTTCCCGCAAATCCTTTACAATTGCCCTGCTAAGTAGTACAACAAGCGCTTCATGTATTTTAGCTCGTCCGCGGTGGGATTTGAAGTAGAGTATATAGGGCCCAAAGTATCAAAGTTCTTCCTGAAGCGACAAGTACAATTATGGTTTCAAGGTTACTGTTTTAAGGAGTGTGTAGCAATAATGGATATACACATAGAATGCAACTACCGCCAGGTCCTGAGCTTTGACGGGCGATAAAATTGCTTTGCCGACCAATAGTGAACAACAATGAGGAGTATCTTTTGCTAACCATATTGCAGTCACTGAGAAGAAGTCTGGTTAAGAGCGTGATACCATGGAACGAACAGCGCGCATGTTATCACGAAGTGAATAGGCGTTGGTGTTTTGATGAATTGCGCCTGAACAGGTAGATGCGTTAACTGTTTGCATTTGTTGAGGTGCCTTTCTGGCGATCGAGCATTTCGAGTTGAGCGCAAAACATTGGGGCATTTCTAGGCGAGATCTGAATACGTAATGGTCCGGTCAAAATGCCTAACTGGGCCGCGTAAGACAGACATGTTTCCTATTTTAGTTAGTTAGTAACAAGTTGGTATTAGAAAAAACAAAACCAAATGCACATATTGCAAGATGTTCAATGCAAGTAATACGGCCATCCGTGGGTCTGTCTCGAAAGGATCGGCTTCCATGCATGGTATTCGCTCGAAATGTTTCACTTACACTTGCCATGTGTAGGTGCGGCATAATATGAAATAAGTCATCAATGCTTTGTTATTTTTAGGGTTCTTAGTATGAACACAGATTAGGGGACGAGCAGTCCTCCAAACTTTTCGATTATACAGCTGCTTTGAGATTGGCACGTTTCATATGCCTGAGAGTCAATGGCGATGCCCTTGCATGAATACAAGTATTAATTTGGAAGCATCAAATGGTTACCTCATGAGGTCAAATCAACCGCGGAAAACAATAAAAAAGGGATAATAGACAATATGAAAACTTGAAAATACAAGGAATAAAATCAGTAACTCTAAGATGTTTCACAGCAATGCAAGAAGAGTTGACGAATCTTCCAATTAACTTATTGAAGACAGGAAACTGTTTTAATTATTCATAGGCAAGAAGGAAATGAAAGCAATTTGTAGACTCATTCCTTATTTCAAGCATTCGACTAGTAAAGCATTCCGTGTAGCAACGCACGCAAATCTGCTTGATGTCCCTAACCAGTTGCCTTTGGGAAAGAGGAAATCGCTGGCACCATGGAAAGGTTAAAAAAGTGAATTATACATCAAGTATCATGCATTGCCCGGTTTAATGGAGGATTACGCAGCGAGTTATTGAAATCGTACTAACAAATTATGGTTGTTTATGCACTTGGCCAAGAAAATAGTTAAGAGAAGATAAGTCTTAATAGCGTAAATATACATGGAAGGTAGTAACAGAGTAGAGTATGAAGGCAGTTGCAACAGCACAACATGAAAAGTCCGAACTTAGCTTTTTCACCCATTGTACCGCGTTTATAATTAATAGTTGCTGGTAGCATATGTTATGGTCAAATCCTTCCTCTAAACTATTGTATCATTAATGTGAATGTTTAGAATGCTTTTCACTCTTTCACTTGACAGACAAACCTTATTTTTTCTTTCAGATTCACAATTATTCTGTACCACTGATTTTTGCTTTCTGCGGCTTCCATAGGACGTTGCATCTGAGGTAGAAACTTTTTCATCAGACTAGTCCAGAATCTGAGCATTGCGACTGCGCATTTATCGTTTGCCACATCATATACTTCTTTTATTCGAAATTTCGGTATGCAATTGTCACTGCAAGCTTTTTACCGCACTAATTTATGGAGGAAGAACAAGTTTATAAGTATCACTCTCAATCATAAAGTCTCGTCGTCCGGCTCGGTGCACCTATCTGTACAGGAAAAGACAATTGAATAGCCAAAGATACGCTTTGTGAAGGAGCGTTGATTGTTATCAGTGGTCTTCAAATCCTATTCACACAGGTTGTGCTTACACATTAACCTATGATCTTCGACTGTCTCACATACCTGGACTATCCTGTCCCTCATGTCCCGTCATTATCCTACCCTTATCCACCACCCAACTTAGTTGAACTACTATCTTTAACTTCACATAGAGGAAACTTGATGAACCCTTCATTTTACTAAGTTGATATCTTTGCCTGGATTTCAACGCCAGTTTACACTCCCGTGATGTATTTTAGGTAATATGACACCATGATTTAGCAATGCAGTCACATTTGTCTATGTACTTTCACACACTTCTGTTAGGTAGGCAACCATTCCCTGGTGCACGTCGTCAACTCTGGCTGGATGATACTTCGATCGAACCGTGCTCCTGTGTTTCCCACTGCGATAGTGTACTGACACTGCTTCCTCACTGGGCATTCAGTCGTTGGTGTGTCTGTCCGCTCCCAAAAGTGGTGCGGACAAGAGTGGAAACGGGCCAATCAACGCACTTATCTGCACGGAAGGCTATCTGGTCTACAAAACCCCATAAAGTGACCGACGCATGCATGGATGAAGCTGACGGTTGAAGGACAACAGAACAAATTGTCCACACTTGGGACTTTGGACAGCATTAGCGCAACCACCGCATCTGAGCAAGCTCGTCGATAGCATGCCATCAGTTTCCTTCGCGTCGGACACTGTAGGAAGCACACAAAAACTGGGAGCTGACGAAGAGAAGATCAATCGAGGATCCGCAATGCAGGATGGTAGTACTAATACAGACACAGGTGGATTGATGAGTCCGAATCTCGGCGAGTCAGCCCAATTACGTGTCCCCACTACAATGCCATCACTTGCCAGAGGTTTTTCACTGGTCCCAGAACGACTGGGCAAAAGGGGATCCTATAAGAAACAAGGAAACAAAGGAATGTTTGGTTGCGAAGCGGCCATGCAAATGCTCGCTTACCTGGCCGCGCTTTTAACGCTTCCCTTCTCTCTATTCATGTGTCTGAAAGTAATCGCTCAATATGAAAGAGCTGTGGTCTTTCGACTGGGTCGTCTGGTCTCTGAGATCCCAAAGGGTCCTGGACTAGTGTTTATCTTACCTTGCCTGGATAACGTGAAAACTATCGATTTACGTACGTTCACGTTTAATGTGCCTACTCAGGAAGTATTGACTAAGGATTCCGTCACAGTGGCTGTAGATGCTGTTGTGTATTATCGAATTTTCGATCCAGTCATGTCCGTGGTAAACGTGGAAGATGCAAATCGTTCCACTCGCTTGTTGGCACAAACTACTCTGCGGAACGTGCTCGGTACTGTTGATTTGTACCAGCTCCTAACAGCTAGAGAGCAGATCGCTCATTTGATGCAAGACTGCCTGGATACTGCGACAGAAACCTGGGGAGTCAAGGTGGAACGGGTGGACATTAAAGATGTACGCCTGCCAATTCAACTTCAACGTGCAATGGCCGCAGAGGCTGAGGCGGCCCGTGAAGCAAAAGCGAAGGTGATTGCAGCAGAAGGTGAGCAAAGGGCGTCGGTAGCCTTAAAGGCTGCGGCGCTCGAAATCGGCGAGTGCCCAATCGCTCTTCAATTGCGTTATCTTCAAACCTTAAGCAGTATTTCGGATGAGAAAAATTCGACAATAATATTTCCTCTTCCGATTGATCTGTTGAGCTTGTTTCATCAAAACATGGGTTTTAATGGAGGTAGCAGTTCGTCACGAGTAGAAAGTACCCACAGCGCCGCCTCCCCCAAAGCCGAACATCGTAGCACTGGCCCGCCGCCTCCACCCCCAAGAGACGGACAATCCCTAGCTTCTGCGCCACGGCAATTTGTCATTACACAAAAGAATGAGTCTGCGGAAGAGGATCTTATATAAACTTCCTGTATGCTGCTTCACAACAACTAGCGTAGAATAACAGTGAATTTCCAGTTTCATCGGATGTCATTCCAACAACATCTCCAATTGTATACTATTGGCACCAACGGTCTGTGCGCCTGGAACTATCCGAGAAGAAACGTTACGTATACCTTTGTCCTGTACTGCTTCGAAGTATGGCGGTAAGCATTTTTATAATCCGGTGTGTGCAACCAATACCAGGCAACTGCGTTCTATCTGCTACTTTGCAGCCTAAGAATAATGTTCATTCATATATCTTGTACGCCGATTTTCTTTGTATAGTAATGACTTGGTTTCATTCTTAAAGAGTACGGATTGTGTTGTATTCGTGATATCCATCCCAACAAATCGTTGATTTTATTCTGACAACACTGCTCAAGACCTCCGACTAGTCCTTGTCCTTTCCGTCAAGTTTCGACATTATGCATATCTATCAAACGACGCATGCCTAACGGCAGTTTGTTATTTGATAATACATGGTATGGTCCGATGATTTATTGACGGCTCCAGTAGACTAACATGGGCCCACCCTTTGGGCATCTGTACCTGAAGTATCAGTTTTCCTACTGTAAATATCCTTTACGTCCTACCATCATGACAACATACAGGTGCTTTTCAAACCACCTATCAAAAATCGGAGTTGTTACCGTTAATTCTGTCTACTGATTGATAGATTTGCTTCTTTTCTTCAAAGCTACAGTCTGTTTCGTTTGATGAACTGCTG